TAACATCTCAAGTGAGCCATCTGGAGCAAAAGCCATTTTTTGTAGCCTTTTCTCTCCAGCCTCCCATTGCACTGGGACCCCACAATCACTTAAGTGTCCTCTCCCCAACCGTCAGCATAGGCAGCAGGAATCTCAGTGCAGACCTCTCCGGAGCTCCATATGCTCCTCCACTGCAGCCTGTACTGTCAGGGGAAGAATGGCTTCCAAGGGATCTCTCCAGGTATTGTGCAAGGTCCTCCTGGTTTCTAGCTTCCGAATGGCTCTCGTGACCCTGGTCAACTAGACCTCTGAGTCTTTAGGCGTAACCTGTATTCTCATGTTCTCTGAGTCCTTGTTCAGCAGCTGCTCCTCCGCTGACTCTGGATCTTTCTGGTTCTCAATGGCAGGGGCAAGAGCAACCCCTTGTGTGGCATGTATTCCCAGGGGTTTCTCCATGTCAGAATGATTCACGCACATCCACGGGCGGGCCTCCGCAGCCAGCGCGTGGCAGGCCAATTGTGTCATTGCTTCTCTGCACCATGCTAGTTCTTGACTGCATGGCGGCAGCTGGCCTGAGGGCCGGCGCGCATTAGCACGCGCCACCGTGCGGCTTCCCGGGAGCCTGCATGGCTAGGGGCCAGCCCAAAGGCCGGCACACCCAGTTTGCCTTTTTTTCTCATTTCTGATATTTCCTGATTCTTCTACCTCATTCTTTACCTTTCTTGCTCCAAGAATTCTGTTAGCTTGACTTCTGATCCAAATAAAGTTTTTAGCTATATTTAACCAGGTAATTACTAACTTGGAATTTTTAACTGTGATAATCTTTTTAATTTCTAAAATATCTCTGTTTTGAGATTGCTTCGTTTGTAAAATAGCCTATTCTTGTTAATTAATGGACTATCACCTCCTAAAATTTCAATGATAACATAACATTTAAAAAGTTATTTTGTAAGCTGGGCATGGTGATACAGAACTGTAATCCCAGCACTTGGGAGGCTGGGGCAAGAGGACTGCAATTTTGAGACCAGCATGGAATACATAGCAAGTTCAAAACTAACCTAGATGCATGGTGAGACCTTATTGTAAAAAAAGTTACTTATGTTTTTAATTTAACTATTTTGGAAAGGCCTTTTGCTTTAAACCTGTTGATTCTCATGCCTGTTAGCATTTCATTTTCAGTTTCTAAATGAAAGTCTATTGTCATCTGATATAATGTTCTGTAACGATAAAAAGGTTCTATTTTATATTGTCCAATATAGTAGCTACTAGACACACATGGCTATTGAGCATTAGAAATGTTACCACGACTGAGAGCACAAATTTTAAGTTGCATTTATCTTTAGTAATTTAAATTGAAATATAAATGGCCACATGTGGCTGGTAGCTACTACACTGGAAAGTGGTCTAGATTGTTCAGTATTCTTGGCTCCTATGGACTTTCTCACCAAATGCACTGATCACTATTGATTTCTTCAGTTAAGATTTCCTTTTCCAGCTCTATGGAAGATACAAAAGATTGTTGGGAGGGCTATGGATGCCAAATTCCCTAAGCTGTAGTGCAGAAAAAGGCCAGTAGGTGGACCTCTCCCTTAAGAAGGGCTTGATGAGAAATGAGAAGGTATCTACTTTTGTTCACAACACCCCTCTACACCCTCAACTTCCCTACCCCGACCAAACACATACACCTTGCATCAACACCCCACTAAACCACATGCAGACTACGGCAACACAGCAGTGACATCCATAAAGAGCAACAGGCATGCTTGTGCTACCACCATTAATAGTGTACTCATTCATGGTGCATGCCCGTGCACCCTAGCACTGAGGAAGGCAGACGTAAAAGGATCACAAGTTTGAATACCACTTGAGCAACTCAGTGAGACTAAGTGACCTATCAAGACCCTGTCTCAATATAAAAAAGAAAAAGGGCTGGGGATATAGTTCAGTGTGAAGGCCCTGGGTTTCAATCCCCACTACAAAATGAAGAAAGGTAGGGAGAAGAAGAGAGGTAAGAAAGGAAGGAGTGGTGAAAAGAGGGGAAAGGATAAAGGATGAGGTAACAATGTACATAAGGAACAGGCCTAGATTCCTTCACCAATAAAGGAATAGTTTTTATTTTTATCTCCAAATTTTCACTAAAATGCTAAACTAGGTGAGCAACTGGGAGTTAGAGAAGCATTGCCAAAGGCAGACACAAATATTATTTGGAAAATAAGATGCAGTCATAGATAAATCAAATGATCAATAATTATAAAGATAAAAAACTACAATGAAGAGCCAATAAGCATCATGTACTTAATGCTTTGTGTATATAACTATAAATAAAGGCAGTTTTCAGGGTTTGAATTCAATAAAAAACTGCTTTCTCCAAAGAATAAAGGAAAATGTAAGAAATTAGGAAACCACTTTATAATTTGCAGATTTATTTTAAAGAAATTCATAACTTTCAACAGAAAAAATAAAAAATACTAGTGAACACTTGACTTCACAGGGCATGGTGGCGAATGTCTGTAATCCCAGCACTCGTTAGGCTGAGGCAGGAGGATTGCTGCAAGTTTGAGGCCAGCCTGGGCTAAATAGTGAGTTGAAGGCCAACCTGGACTACAGAGCAAGACCTTGTCTCAAAAACACTGAACAATAACAACAACATAAACACCTCACTGCTAATTATGGGTACAGCACTGGAACAAGATGATATTATTTCCAGAGACAAACTCAATGTATAACTTGTAACTTTTAGAAATAGAAATGATTACTTACCATGGTACTGGGGTCTCTATCAGCTCGATCTAGTTCAAAAGAATTAATTTTATCGGCACTCATTTTATCAGTGTCAGCAATGACGTAATGCCTAGGTGAGTAAGCACTGGATAGGCTCCCAAGCAGTCTCAGGATCTCTGTGGTGTGCCCACCTGGAAAAAATTCGGAAGGTCTAAGGTTAAGAAACCCACAACAGACATATCATCTGACCATGTTATAGCAATGTCATGTTTCTCGGGGTGGATGAACCACCAATACTAAAAATTTCTCAAAAGAGACAATAATATTTACAAAAGGGAGAGATCTGTAAAAGGGAAGGGGACCAAGAGATGGAGGAAAGGGGAAGGGAGGAGAGAGGAAGGGAAAGAAAAAGAATCAAGAAATAATCTATGCCCTTGTATAAATACTACTTTTATAAGAGGAAAAGATAATAAATATATAAAAATAAAACTGGAACTAGCAATAGGTACTTATACAAAGAAGAATAAGACAAAGTTTACTGGTAAGCAGGCTGGGGGCTGGGAGAGTTAGGCCAGGTTGGAGATTTACATAAAGTTTTTATAATCAAGAAACCTGGTGGGAAAAGGGCAATATAGCTACATATATAAAGATAAAGAGGACACAAGACAGCAGATAAAACTAAAATACGGGGACAAGAAAATGGCAATGAAAAATCAGTGCTGTAAAACTAGGGAAGATCAATGGTAAAGGCTGAGATGACTTAAAAGGCAAAGACAACAGAAGCAGGGCGGCCATGGGGCAAGGTAGGAATGAGAAGGCAAGAACTGAGACATGTTCATGGGGAGATAAGAATACTGGGAAGAAGTTGAAGGTAAAACAAGGCTAGGCAAGTAGGAGACAGTCACTGGAGGCTTCTGTTCTGTAATAACACAAGGAAGACATGAGCAGCGGAGCTTGGGTCTTCCTGAGGAAGACTCTGCTGTCCACCGTGACCTCTGCTCCTCACAGAGGTCTCAGCACACCACGGGTCCTCAAATACTTACCACCTCCACACACAGTCTAAAATCACATAATCTCTAAAAATTTAATATTTTAATTTCAAAGACATCAACTACAGATATCCCTTCAGCATTGGTGAGGAACTGGCTCCAAGACACTCCACAGAAACCAAAATCTACAGATGCTCAAATCCTTTATAAGAGAAGGATGCATGTGCACATAACCTACACATTCCTCCTGTACGTTTTAAGTCATCTCTAGATTACGTACACTATTGAAGGCAATGTACGTGCTATGTAAATAGCTGTTAAATGTAGTGTTTAGGGACTAATGATAAGAAAAAAATCTGTGTACATGTTCAGTATAGATGAAATTTCTTTCAAATATTTTTGATCTGTGGTTGATAGAATCCAAGGATGCAGAGTTCTCGGATATGGTGGGAAGGTTGACTGTACACTCACGATTATTTCCTTTATGCAAGCAATAAAAATCTACCACACATTTTAATCAAACAATTAGAAGACCTTATGAAGGAGCACACGTAAATCTACTTTAGTTTCATTTCAGAATACTCTGCTTCAGCCAAACTGACACCTTCAACATTTTCTAGTCATCTTACTTGTTAACTCTTCTTGTCTTTGGTTATGTTGTCCCCTCTACCTAGAAAGCTTCCCCCATTCACCTCCTTTACCGTTCTAAGAAAGAGCTTTTAATACACCATGAACACACAGATAATCAAATTATGTGTTTCTCCTCAATGCATATTTTTTAGTATTAAGATTTTACTAGTAAAGAATTTAGTAGTAAGAAAGGAAGAATTTCTTTTATATCTATTTATATAACATCTTCTTTTTAGAAGATGCTATATAAAGAAAGAAATGTGGTATAGATTTAGTGTGAATTTCAGAAATTAGAATCATACACTAACTTTATACAGTTTTTAAGTACCAAGAGATAACTTGCCTGGGGCATGTAATTTGCACATCTGGTTTATACACATTTTAGAATTTTTATTTTTAGCCTTGAAAGTGTTGTGGTTTGCAAAGCAGTTACTTGTTTTCACAGCCAGACTAATTAAGGATAAAACCTAGTAACAAACACCTTCCACTGCAATAGAAACCTCACTGTACCTGTCTTAACAGTCTTTTTTTTTCTTTTTAAAGGAAACACTGGATATACCCACTTGTTAATCTTGTTACTGAATAAAGTCATAAAAATAATGGACTATAAATTTAGGAGGAATAAAATCATCTCAGTGCTACCTTAAAATATATCCAGTCCCTACTCACTTTTCACCACCTCCTTTACTACTGTCCTCTTCCAAGCCACTGTCACCTTCCACACAGATTATGAGCACAGCCTCCTAGTCTGTTCCACCCACCCAGTTCTCCTCTACACTATTCTCAGCAGTATCCAGTATGATCCTATTAAAGAGCTGCTCAAAATTTTCCAAGGCTTTGTGTGTCACACAGAACAAAAGGCTTTGTTTTGTAATCTGACTCTGATCTTTGTTATCTCTTAGAGCTCATCAGCTTCTTCTCGCCTTAGTCTACTCATCTCTAGCCTTCCTGCTGTTAGTTATGTTATCTTCCCAGCATGCATTCCTTAACAAGCCTTTAAAAAATGCAATCCTTCCTCCCATGTCATAGTATTTATCACTACATAATACACTATATAGTCTAGTTCTTTTGCCTTTTATATCTCTCCATTCTTAACCCACTACAAGCCAAGTACCATGACAGTAGGGGATTTTTGTTTATCCTATTACCACTGTTACCTACCTTCAGGGCCTAGAAAATAGTTAAACCCTCCTATTGTTGAAGGAATGAATTTGCTATTAAACCCAAGTCTGTCTAAGAAGACCTATTGTATATCAAAGAAAAGTAGTAATTTTAAAATATATTCTCTGAGTATAAGTAATCAAGTAGTATTTTATGGTACCTAAACATTAAATGTTGCTTTGTTTTCAGGGTAAACACTGAAAATACTTTCTCCGTCCTCCACAGTTTTGGGCATTCACTGCTGAACTATTTACTTATTTATTTATTTATTTATTTTTGGTACTGGGAATTGAACTCAGGACCTTGCGCTTGCCAGGCAAGTGCTTGTGTCGCTAAGCTATGTCCCCTGCCCCCGAACTGTCTAACTATAAGTCATTCTTTCACCTGTATCACTCTTTAAAGACTTTGGCCCCTCCCTACCTTGAATATTCTGAATGAAGGGTACCAACAGCCAGATAAATGCTCAACCTAATTTTAGTTTCTAGTCTGTTAACGAAATGAATAGCTTTAACATTCACTCATCTGTTTGTTCAAGTCAGAAACGTCATCGTTTAGCCTTTTTCTGTCTCCAATTTAGATAGTAGTGCCCTTCCTGAAGACTGCATAGCCATAGCAGAGTTGGACTTCTTATACAATAATGATAAGACTTTAGCACTTATTGTGGCAAATACCACTTTGTCTTGTCTTGTTAGTTTTTCTATATTCTCCATTTCATTTACTGATGTTTCTTTGTGTACTTTTCATACTGCCTGGTACATAGCTCTTCACAGCAAGTAATATTAGTTAGTTTTGCTATTTCCCGAGCTTAGCTTACTGCCCAGCTTCTCCTACAGCTCAAAATATGTTAAGCGAATAAAGTAATGATTTATACTTGATGAGAAGTACAGTACATTTGTTCATCCTATAAATATTATTCTACATGAATACAATCTCCTGGCATTTCTAAATACACACTGGGTGTGTATGTGTGTAGTCATGCACCACACAATGCCATTTTGGTCAGTGTAGGACATAATATATGACAGTGCTACCATGAGATTATAAAAATTGAAAACTTCTTGATGCCTAGTCACATTATGGCTGTCATAATTTAGTAACCAACGCAATACTCACATGAAAAAACCCACTGTGCTGCGCATCATATAAAAGTATAGCACATACAATTATGTACAGTATTACATCACACTTGACAGCAAATGACTATGCTACTGGCTTATGTCTTTACTGTGCACTTCATTGTTATTTTATAGTATACACCTTCTTATTTAAAAAAAAGTTTCTTGTAAAACAACATGCCTTGTATTGGTGACAACAACTTTATACATCTCACTTTTATAGTAGCTATTAATTGCATCTTTTTTTTCTTGTCCTTGATTTAATCTTGTGCTGTTTTGTTCACCGTGGGCCTGGGAGCAATGAACTAAACCATATACATATACACCAGACAGCCTCCTGCTTAGTACGCTAGATTACCTAGGACCGTGTAAAGTCACTGTGTGCGGCTCCCAAGAGGACGTAGTTCTCAGAAGTTAACCCTTTCAGCACCGTATTTCACTTCTGTCAAAATGGTTCATTTAAAATTCTAAGCGCCTTCAGGGACTGGTGGGTTTAGACTGTTTACCTGATAGCTTGTTCCTTATACCCTGCACCTTGCTGTTGTTCTCCGTCAGTAAGTAATGTCTGCACCCCCGTGGACTCTGTACATTCATAAATGTGGCACTTCACCCTGCCTCGTTCATCACGTGCCATTCGCGTTTCCTATCCTAAGTACAAAAGGCTTAGACTAACAACGCACAACAGCCAAACAGGAAACTGCGTGTTAGCATCAAAAGGCTGCAGCGTTCTCAGTTCGTGATTATTTGTTAGAGAGCTACACACTAAGAAAGGCTTAATTACACACGAACGTGGACTACTTGTCATTAACAGGCGCCTAGGCCGCCCCAGCAACGCACAGAAACTACAAATCTCAGCATGCAACGCTCCAAAAAGCGCTAAGGAGACCAGAAAGGGCGTCGCGGTGTACTCTGGGGGTTGTAGTCCCCGACCCAAACTACAGGCACCGCCCTGGTACTTACCGGACCCAGCCACTACCAAAAGACTGAGAGACTCCCGGGGCGTAACATCCTGGGACCGACACACGATCCATAGTCTCAAGACTAGGACGACAGCCACCGCTCCCGCAGCTACAACTGGAATAAGGACACACGCCATGTAAAAGGATGGCGCATGCGCACTATTCCGGGCCTGCCGGGCGCAATTAACATGTACGGGTGCAGAGAAGACCCAAATATGCAGTAACGCGTCTCTTGGTGGGCGGGGCTTTTAGAACTGGGTGAGGTTAAGGACGGCGGACGCAGCTGGGCGTCTGTTGCCTTGCTGCCGCCCAACATGAAATGAAATTTGGGGAACTGTAAACGCTGGATAAGTTTGACTTCCTCTGGTGACGCGTTCAGACCACCTGTGTTCCCGAAAAGCCCCGCAGCTCCCAAATTAGGAGGTATTCCAGCCCTACCTGTCAAGTGGCCCGAGGCCAAGGCAAACATCGCTGGTTTCCTTCTGCTCCCTCCCTCCTCCTCTCCCTTCTCTCTCCTTCCTTCTCTCCCTCTCCCTACCCACCCTCCTCTCTCGTTCCCTGCCCCTGTCCTGTAGAGACATTACTGAGTGTGAAATTGATTTTAGGGCCCTTCTATAAACCTGCTTTTCCCCATTATTCATGTTCTCACTGACCTCACTGAGTGTGACCAGAGTAGTTGAGTGTGATCGGAGTAGTTGAGTGTGACCAGAGTAGTTGAGTGTGATCAGAGTTTCCAGTTTGTGCTCATGCCCTCAGCCAAAATAATTATCTGCCAGCACCTCTCTGATACGTTTTACATATTTTTATGTGTACTTCATCAACATTACAGCAACGTGAAGAAAAAAGAGAAGCCCCTATATCCCAAATAAACTTGCCTTTGAACCCGCATAAATTTATAGGTTAGATAGGACAAGTACACAGGTACGTGCACATGTCCAGAAAGGTGCAACACCTTGCTCACGTAGAATAATGTCAGATCTACATGAGAGATCAGAAATCCTAACACCTGCAGCATAGGAATAGTGTGTCGGGCATTCCTTTGCTAAATTCAGTCTTGCCTGATGGACACATTCACCAGGATCCTAGAATGCGGTATTCAAAGTCTTGACTTCCAGAGTCCTCCAGAGAGCTACTAAATCAGAATATCAGAAGAGGTGCCTGGATCTGCTGATTAAACCAGTTAGTCAGTTCTTGAATCAGTAGGCAAGTTTGGGAGGCTTTGTGGGTATATCCTTCTCTGCCTCACGGATGTCCAGACACTTTTCATATGTGCTCAAACCTTGTTAACCTGAAATCCGGGCAATAAAGTCATGAAGATGATATTAGTACAAGGGCTGGGGATTTAGCTCAGCGGCAAAAGTGCCTCCCTGGCAAGCGCAAGGGTCGTGAGTTCGGTTCCTGGTACTGGAGAAACACCAAAAAAAAAAAAAAAAATGATATTAGTACAGTTTTTATAAACAAAACCCCATAAAAGTTAAATATTTTGCAGAAGTTTACTTAGTTGACAAATAATAGAGAAAGTATATATTGTGGACTTAGAAATCAGTGTTTCTCAAATTTTTATGAGATCAAAATCCCCTGGACTTACAAATGCATAGTTAGAAGTCCAGAGGTAGGCCTATGGTATAGGATGAAAAATAGCTGAAGAATGTTGCAGATAGTGTATTTTCTTTTATCTGCTGTCTTGGTATACCAAAAAATGACTCCAGCCTTAGGTTCTGTCCCCTAATTAAATGCTGTTAGTTGTCCCAGAAATTGCATCCACAGCAAGCAATCTCCAGAGCTACAAAGAAAGTTATTTTTGTCACTGAGATTTTCTCTTTTTTAGGGACAAGGAAACCTCTGCCAGAATCCCTCACAGCTGACTTTCTTTTACTGCTTTAGGATGTCTTTACATCACTTACCCATGCGTAAAAGGAAAGAGACCTCAAAACATGGTGGTGGGAATGGAAGATAACATATGATTCTGCAGTAGTATATGATCATTGGGCAGAGGGTGGGTACTGAACAAAGGCTGTGTTCACTTAGATAGGAGAAATTTGAAGGAAGGAGGGCTATGAGAGAGGCAAACGATACCAGTAACATCTGTATTACTATGAAGGTGACGGATGACGTGTCTTTGTAAACTAATACTTAGAATGTAGATATTAGACATATAATAATTCTTTGAATGTAGGCTCCAACTTCTACAGTAAGTTAGACAATACAGTATACCCTTCTACCTCACATTATCCCATCTCCTAACTACTGTAATTAACTTTTATCTCTAGGAAAAAATCAGTTCGGCTACACTTGGCCTACAGCTGGAATGAATGGGGCAGTTGAACATTTAGGAAGTTAGTACAGAGACTCAAAGACAGTGAAGTAGCAGGCATTGTTTAGAGTTATTGGTTGAGTTATTCTGAATGAGTGAGAGGGGTAAAACTCAGTTTTCATGTCAAGGAAATTGCCTGCAGATTTGAGATAGGTAGCCAGCAAGAACAGGAAAAAGTTAAAAATCCATGAAGAAAAGGGTCTACTGGGTGGGCTGAGTACTGAGCTGTGACAGAATGTGTACATAACCAAGAAGTCAGGGAGTTGTAATGGTAAGTGGGAGCCACTCATGATGCTGAAGTCACTGAGTAGTGATAGAGAGGAAGATACGCAGCTAGAACTGAGCCAAGAAAAGCATTGAATATGAGCTGGAAATCTACTTGTTCTGCAGATCTATTCTCCATACCTCTCTACTTCACGCAGTGCCATGTTAGCTGAAATCAATCAGTTTCAACTAAATCAGTAGGTTTCCTTGCCCTCTGATTTTGATTGGGTTTGGTTAAGGGGGATCTTAGCAGAAAATCAGATGGAGAAGGTTGTGTCCCTGAACTGAAGGTCTCTGCTCTTTTTATGACTGTCTCTCTACATAAGCTCTCTATCCTAGGTCACAGCGCTGGCTTCTTCTATTCCTTCTAGCCTGTGGGTGGTACCATCTCCACTGTTACTAGCTCTGGGTTACTGCCCTCACTGTCCCTTCCTCTACTCCATTCAAACCTTTGTAAATAATCACTACATTTAATCATCTCTAAATTAACCTAATGCAAGTGTACCCTTCTGAGGACACTGAATGATACATGACAGAACTTCACAGGAAGTCCAGATTTTGAAAGGAGGAGGAGAAATGTGAAAGCAGCAACAGAGGGCAAGATGGATGCCCTCCCACTTCCTGTGGGACTGTGGGAAACAAACGGCCTCTACTCGAGAGATATACTGGAGAAGTGTGGGAGAGCTAGGCTTCAGCTTAAGCAGAAAAGTAGAAGTAGAGAAGACAGTCACAGAGAGTTAGGGAACATTTGTAGCTTGCAGGCCAGGAGATGCAGAGGATGCAGGGAAAGTGTTTAGAAGGAGATGAGGACTGGAGGTTGAGTCAGATTGGAGGATTTAGGGCAACTGTTGAGATAAGAATCAGGATGAGGAATCCAATTTTCCCAACATCATTTATTCAAGAGACCATCTTTTCCTCATGTATATTTTTGGTGCCCTTGTCAAAAATATTCATTGTGATTTATTTCCTTTTTTATTGGATTCAACATGCAAAGGAATAAAATTGCATCCCTATCCTATGCCTGTGACAAAAATTAACTACAATGGGCTAAATACTGACAAGACAAAATCTTTAGGGAAAAAAAAGCATAAGGAAAAAGCTTTGACAATGTCTTTTGGTGTATGAAACCAAAAGCACAGTAATAAAAGCAAAAATTTTTTGTTGCATAGTAACAAAAAATACATCAATGGAACTACATCAAACTAAAAAGTTTCTGCATATAAAAGGAAATAACATAGTGAAAAGTCAGCCTACAGAAAGAGAGAAAACATTTGCAAACCATGTATCTGATAAGGTGTTAATATCCAAAGTAGAGAAGGAACTCATACATCTCAATAATACATTTCAATTAAAAATGGGTAAAGGATCTAAAAAGACCTTTTCCCAAAAAAGACATGAAAATGGCCAACAGATACATGAAAATATGCCCAACACAGCTAATAATCAGGATAATATAGATCAAAATCACAGTACGATATTACTTCACTTCAGTATAAATAATTTATCAAAATAACAAAAGATAACCAGTATGGCCGATGACATGGAGAAAAGGTAATATTTGTGTTCTGCTGATGGGAATGTAAATTGGTAAAACAATATGAATTTTCCTTTTAAAAATTAAGAGTAGAACTCTTATACGAACCTGTAATCCCACTTCTGAGCACATAGCCAAAGGAAAGAATATCAGTTTTTTCAAGGAAATATCTGCACTCTTCTACATTATTCTCCAAAAGCAAGACGTGGAAAGAACTCAGGTACCTGTTGATAGGTGAACTGTGGTGTGTAACGCACACAGACACACAGACACACAGACACACACACTGGAATATCATCCATAAAAAGGAAGGGATCTGTCGTTTGTGGATGAATCTAGAGGACAATATGCTAAATAAAATAATCCAGGCACACAGAAAGACAAAAGCTGCATGTCCTCACTTATGTGTGGAATCTACACAGTGATACTCATAGAATTAGGGATTAGAATGGTGGTAACCAGAGACTGGGGGATGAACGGAGGAGGCGATATTGATCAAGCAGTACAAATCTTGAATGATGAATAAGTTCTAGACATCTAAGTACTGTGTGGTGTATCAAAATGCTATACTTGGTACACTTGAAATTTGTTAGGCTAGTAGATCTTAAATGCTATCATAAAAAGACAACTATGTGAGGTAATGGTTTTGTGATAATTATTTCACAATACAAGCATGTATCAAAACCCCACATTGTACACGGTAATTATATTCAACTTTTATTTGTCAGTTTAGTTGCTATAGCCTTTTAAAATAAATGGCTTTTAAGAATTAAAAAAAAAGAATCAGGATGATGATGGGTGATCTGGGAGGTTAGTGGGTGCTGAAGTAGATAGTGCCAAGCTCTCTATTTTAGTCCAAATCCATGGTGCCTATTGTGTGCTGTACTGGGCTAGGCAATGGGGGTACAGCATCCAAGCAGTGACTTCACAATGAGTCTGACTATACGAGGTACAGGCCTCTGGATGAGGCCTCATAGAGAAAACCATCCAGCCCATGGGCTGCCAGGGATCCTGACAGCTAGGCCCATTCCCACCGGTGTCAGCTGTCAGTCCTAATAAAGACAGAAAAGTATGAACAAAGAAGACTGAAGCTTTTCTGCAAGGACCGGGGAGACGATTTTGGTCAGTATTATGCCTGCCCAGGACAAGGTAGGATACAGCTGGGAGTTTCTAGGTTTGGTCAGACATGGAACTGGGAGCATGGGACCACCAGGACTGATGGTCATCTACCTTACTTTAAAGATCTTCTGGAAAGCTTGCAAGCATGAGTGACAGAAATTGTCCCAGTACAACTCAAGTAATCTTTGTTATAGCCAAGACTTTTTCTTGTCAAATACACTAGTATCTGTTTGAGTCATAACCTTTGCTAAATAAAGCCACTCCCATAGGCCTTCTTGAATGCTAACCCTTGAAGCTAAGGTAACTAATACTTCTAATAGCTGGCATTAATTGTGTGCTTACTATATGCCAAGCACTTAGAACATGATTAACTGATTCTTACAGCAGGCAATGAGATAGATACTATTACAATTATCATTTTATAAGCGAGGGCTTTTAGGTATAAAAAGATCATTCCGTTTACTCTGGGTCACAAAGCCAGGAATTCTGTTGTCCACAATTTTATCATCTACAGTGTTATCAAAATACTTGTTGTATATTTACACCAGCTATTGTGCTATACTAAATAGAGCATACTAGAAATATTGTATTATTTACCATGTCTCACTTTTCGGGAAAAGATTTTTGAAAGTAGTTTTCAAGAGTTCCAATAATTGCTTTTATTTTTTCTGTTTTTAATACACTCAAAAAGTATATTTCAATGCTATACTTGTATAAAAATCTTGATTCAATTCTTACTTAAGGTGAATTTTAGGTAAATTATTAAGATAGCATAATTTTATTCTTGCTTGCTTTATGTTTACTTACCTCAAATATACATCCAAAATGCCTTATGAGTTCAAAATGTAAAAAAACTTTATAAAATTAATTAAAAATGCATTCTAATGCTTTCCTAGCATGTGCAAGGCCCTGAGTTTGATCCCCAATACCACTAAATCCCAGACTATTATGGGAAGTACTATACCACATACACTATTTATTAATGGCAATCACAAGAGTAGCTTTGGTTTTTGAAGTTACAAGATAAAGTAAGAAATAATATTTCTGCACCGAACACTGTTTTTCTTTGCAAACCACTGAGTTAATTTCCTCATCATCTCAATCTTCATTTCCCATCAAAACCTCTACCTGGCATCTACAATGATTTCTCCTTGTATATACTGCTTTTCTCCTTGTATACACTGCCCTCACTGTATCTTTCTTAAATTCTTTTCTGCTACCACTAAGGTTTTTGTCCATGGTAGGAACTTACATATTGTGCCTTTACCTTTATTTGCCTATTTGTTATTCCTCAGCTTTATTTATAGAGGAAGCATAGCAAACCTGTGAAATTTATATATATAATAATATACAAGATCTACCATTTAGTTAACTTGTGCATGCTTTCATAACTACCTCTAACAACCATTTTAGGAATTTAAATATTATAGGTACTACCATCTTATAGGTGAGAAAGAAGACTTTACCATGCTAACATAATACTGCTGGCCCTTTGATTTGACTTCCTGCTGGTTTGTTAAAACCATTTAGCGGTTTACAAGTATTGTGATAGTAGGGGAAGATAATTAATGAAAAAAAGTTATAGAAATGAAAAGAGGATGAAAAAATGAAATTTACAAATGTGCTATGTTAGTGTTATTTTCTCTTAGAACTCGTGCGAATGAACAATGAATATACCTCACAAAATGGATACGACATCTCTTGCTCTGCCCTAAACTTAACCTGCTTTCTTTTTAGCATCTCCATGACATATTTAATACCCTGTTCATCAGCATTAGGTGTTATATTTATTGTGAACCTCCTCTCAATTTGTTTCAAACAGACCTTTTAATTTACAGGCAGGTTTTTTAAAAATATAAATCTCAAGTGACTCAATTATTTCCCAAAGTTAAGATTCTGTTCTTCTCTACACCAGTACTCAGGTGGGCTCTTTGCTGATTTTACTTGTGTTGAATAGATTAAAACACAATATAAATAAACCGGGAAAAGCTCTAATACTTTGTAGTGTTTGATTATAGAACTGTGAGCCAGGAATGTCCTAACCTAAAATTTAAAAGAATCTCTAAGTTTCCCTTTCCTCCATCTCAGTTACCTCCGTCTCAATTTTGCTCAGTCTCGAGTCACTGACTCTCACTGTTCCTTTACTCTTAGCCTATAAAACAAGCTCTGTCTTTCTCATTAAAAAATAAAAGCAAAATCAATAAAACCCTCCCCCAATCTGTCTGGCTCAGCATAACTCCTCTAAACTACACAGTCTAACCATATTAAAATGACCCTGCAGTTTTTAACCACACCTTTTCTCCTTTACCAGAGTGTTTTTCCACTGCCAGGTCTATTTTTATACAACTGGACTATGTCACGGAACTAAAATCTTCCACTGAGCACAGAACAAAGTTGTATTCCAGATGTTGAGAAGTGATCATCCTGAACCATGGTTTTCCAGTGAGCTCTCTAAAAGGGTTGACGAACCACCCAAGAGAGCGACCTTCCAGATATAGGCATCACAAATAGAACATTCTCTTTATTCACAGCATAACTCTTCCCTTGTCTTTCTTCCAAACTTCTTGATCTGGTGGCCTTGTTTCCTTCCTTCAGCTCCTCCTACACGTGCCTTTGATCTGTTCTTCCATATGACATCTCAGAGTGCATCTGAAGGAGCACTCATTTACGTGCGCATGTGTGTATGTGTCTGTGTGTGGTGCTGGTGGGGTTGTCCAGAGGAGGATGGCCCAAGTCTCAAGAATCAGGCTAAAGGTAAATCTCCCAGAGGAGCCCAGTGTCCCTACCAGTGTATGCTAAGCTGCCCAGCGTAAGTGCACGTTGCAGTAAGAAGCGTTCGGTTTCCGCAAAGACAGCATCATCTAATCCTTTCCTATGAAGCGGTACTTCTCTCACAGGAATGTGGGCTTATCACGTAAGAACAAGAGAGTCCTTCTCTCTCTGTCACTTTGAAGAAGTAGCATCCACTGAAGTCTGAATCTGTTGACTATATGTCTCTTCGGATGGGAGTTTTGAATGAAAGGCAGTTGCATATCTAATTTAGTATTCCAGACAGAGGTGCTTGAAGTTTCTACATTTTACTATTGCTGATCCATATCCCTTTTCTCCTTTTAGACCTAATCATTTATTGCTCTCCCTTCTACCTGATATTCCCATAGGGTAAGACTGTTCCCACACTGCGGCCGTGACTAAAGTATTTCTGGTCCTCCCGTCTTTCCACACCAAGCTTGGGTTCCCTCGTTTTCCAGGGACGAGTCATCTCTCTTGTATAGAAGTGGCAGTTCCTATGAGTGCACAGGGAGGTGTGGTCCCGGAGGCCCTGGGATCCCATTTAGTCACCACGTCCAAGAGAAGTCGGAATCTCAGGGAAATTTTCGCAGCCTAAGGTGCAGATTGAGTTCTTCCAGCTATTGAAGATACACGTTGCTTACATGTGGGGGCAGCTAGAACTCTGAACTGCTCTAGTCTTTAGAGCCAGATTCTCCAGTTTAGCCTCATGAGCGTAGCTTAGTTCACATGCAGGTAGACCAAGCCACAACTAATTATCTTATTTTTTTCTTTGAAAGGTAGTGTTCTTTAAAAAGACTAGTCTCTGTTTTCTGTTTCATTTTTCCTTGCTCTTTTTCACTTCTCAATTCACTGAAATATAGCTTCTGCCATAATTATTTTCCAATAGCCTTTGGAGTTTCAAGTGCAAAGAACATTTCCTTTTCTTATTTCTCTTAGGCAATTGAAAAAACCCTTTAAAATTTTTTCTTACATGGATTTTCTTTTTTCTATTTTTTCTTGATTTTCATACCACTATTGTTTGAGCTTTTTATTATTTTTGCATCTTTGAGTTTTATTTATAAATTATGTTACCAAACTGGATCTTGGTAATATAATTTTTGGTAATATAATATTTATGAATAACTGATGGCATGGTGGCTCACACCTGTAATCCCAGCACTCAGGAAGCGGAGGCAGGAGGATTGCTGAAAATTTGAGATCAGCCTGGGCTACGAAGTGAGCTCAAGGCAAGCCTGAACTGCAAAGCGAGACCTTGTCTCAAAAATACAGAAAAAAAAATTATATTACCCAAAGTACTAAAAATAATAAAATTGAAGTTTGGGTACCCACAATACCCACAAGCTAGATTTTGCTCTTTTTTTTTTTTTTTTTTTTTTTCAGACTGTCATTCTCTTTCCTTCTAAGAAATAAAATCCTCATTTTTATCCCTTTTGGTCATTGTATTTCTAGGATTCTTAACTTCAGGTATCTTTCCTTATTTTTGTGGCAGACTAATAGTTGTTACCAGGAGATCCGTTCTACTTTTCCTGCTGGCCATATGTTGCTCACTCAACTGAAGACCGCGTTTCTTACCCTCCTCTGTAGCTAGGTACAGTGTAGCGGGTGAGTTCTTGCCAGAGCAGTATAACTGGAAACAACGAGTAGAGTTTGGGTCTTCCCTTTTTAGATAAAGGAAGATGGCTTACCTGCTTTCTTCTCTGTCATGGACATGCTTATGACAGCTTCAGCCACACAAATGAGGTAGACTAGACATCCTAGAGAGGGCAGAAACCAAGATAGAAGGAATCTGAATCCGAGTGACCTCACAGAGCAGAGTTACCCTGACAGTCTAAGCCTATTGTTATGTGAAAGGGAAAGCAAAACTTGTATTTTCTTTATGTCACTAAATTCTGGAGATTCATTATTATGGTAACTTAGCCTTTACTCTAATAGCAAAACTGGTACCTGGAAGGGGAAGACATTTAACAAAACCCTAAACTATACTATTACCTATGCAGTTGGATAACTGATGGTGAGGAAACAGATTGAATGGTCCCTGTTATGCCAGTGGCAGAATCTTTGGTAAAAATTTCAACTACTTAACTTAGAAGGCTAGTTGTGTTCCTTCTATGGCTGAACTCAAGAATATAAATGATTAATTATTTCTCCTTGCTGCATTTCACAAGGTTTTTTCAAGCAATAAGTTCACTTATGAAGTGATGTGTCTTCAAGCAGAAATGGAAAGAAATAAAAGATTTACA